GGGGGGGTCTTCCTCTTTTCTTCTGATACTCCACCTTACCAAACAAGGAGGTGAGTGATTAACTTTGCAGTCTAGGAGCGGAGGTCCTTGGGACCATCAAGGGAGAAGAGTGGAGAGTAGAACCCTACCCAGAGAAACAGTGACGCCAGAGATGGTGACGTGGAGAGATGGAGCAGCTGGGGACTTTAGACACAGAGAGGGAGAGGGGCTGTGTGCTGATGACCGGGGGCATGCTTGCAGGGTATACCCTTTGGTTGGTTGCTGATGCATGGAGAGGATTATAATCATGGCAATGATTATAATGATATAATGATTATAATGATAGGATGAATGTAAAACTAATGTTCTCCCATGTAAACTATGACATAATTCACAATAAAACGTTGTTGTTGTTGTTAAGTACTGTGGAGTTGGTTCCGACTCATAGTGACCCTGCACAGGGTTTCTGATGCTGTAGAATCTTTATGGGAGCAGAATGCCTCATCTTTCTCCTGCGGAACTGCTGGTAGCTTCGAACTGCCGACCTTGAGGTTAGCAGCCCGATTTGTAACCACTACGCTACCAGAGCTCCTTAATAAAACATTGGAAAAAAAAAAAAAAAAAAAAAAAAGGCCTTTGTGTTGTCAGTAAAGCCCAGGTAAACATCTTTCTGGTATTCTTTGCTTGTAGCCAAGATTCATCTGATGTCAGCAATGATATCCTTCGTTCCATGTGCTCTTCTGAATCCGGCTTGAATCTCTGGAAGTTCTCTGTCAAAGTATGGTTGCAGCCGTTTCTGTATTGCCTTTAGTAAAACTTTACTTGCATGGAATATCCATGATATTGTCTAATGATTTCCAGATTCTGTTGAGTCACCTTTCTTTGGAATGGGCACAATTTTGGATCTCTTCCAATCGGTTGGCCAGATAGTTGTCTTCCAAATTTCTTGGCATAGATGAGTGAGTGCCTCCAGTGCCACCTCACTTTGTTGAAAGATTTCAATTTGTATTCCATTAATTCCTGGTGCCTTGTTTTTTGCCAAGGCCTTCAGTACACCTTGGACTTCTTCCTTCAGGATCATTGGCTCTTGATCATTGTGTGTATTGTTGTTAAGTGCCATCGAGTAGGTTCCAACCCTTAGCGACCTGTACAGGGTTTCTGAGGCTGTAAATCTTTACAGGAGCAGAAAGCCTTTCTCCTGAGGAGCAGCTGGTAGTTTCGAACTGCTGACCTTAAGGTTCGCAGCCCGATTCGTAACCACTACACTACCAGAGGTCCTTGATCGTTGTATGTAGTTGCAGTTTATTTATTCTGGTGGCTGTATAGTACATACTGTTGTGTGAATATCACAGTGTATCCACTCTGTTTTGGCCGTGGTGCTGTAGCGTAAGCACTGGACTACTAACCACAAGGTTTGTGTTTCAGACTCACCAGCTGCTCCTCTCTTCAGGGTCACTATGAGTTGGAACAGACTCAACGGCACTTAGCAATAACAACATGGCTGTTTATATAGTTTCTACTTTGAACAAATACAAATCATATGATTGTTATCTGTGTTGGTTTGTTAATATTTGGGGACCTCGGGAAAAAATCTTGCCCTTGTATTTTATTTATCAATGAAAAAAACTACCGTGTTCTTTGGGTGAAATGTAATTATTCAGAAGTTTAGTGTCTTCTGTAATAGCATAAGATTTGTCTTGTAAACTTGTGCACAGATTTTTGAAACTACTAGAGAACATGACAGGACTCTTGGTATGATACCATAGGATAAGCACTCGAACTCAAGGTCACTTTGAACCATAAGGTTAGCTGTTCAAACCCACCAGCTACTCCTCGGAAACCCTCACGATGAGTTGGAACCGTCTCAGTGGCTCTTAACAGCAGGAGAACATGACAGTGAATAAGGAAGATCATAGAAGAATCAATGTTCTTGAATTGTGGTGTTGGCGAAGCATACTGAAAATACCACTTACTGTCAGTAAAACAAACATATCTGTCTTGGAAGAAGTGCAGCCAGAATGTACCTTTGAAGTAAAAATGGTGAGACTTCGTCTCTCATACTTTGGATTATACTAAAAGTAGAGACCAATCCCTGGACATCATGCTAGAAAAGTGGAGGGTCACCGAAAATCGAGGAAGAGTCCCCTTCCCCAACAAGACGGATTGATAACAATGGCAACAACAATGGGCTCAAACATCACAATTGTGAAGATGGGTCAAAACTGGACAGTGTTGTAATCTGTTGTGCATAGGATCACTATGTTTTTGTTGTTAGGTGACATCGAGTCGGTACCGACCCATAGCGACTTTAGGCACAGCAGAACGAAACACTGCCCGATCCTGGGCCAACCTCACTACTGTTGCCACGCTTGAGTACATCGATGTGGCCACTTAGCCAATCCATCTCATTGGGGGCCTTCCTCTTTTTCTCTGACCCTCCACCTTACCAAACATGATATCCTTCTCCACTGACTGGGTCTCCTGACAATATGTCCAAAGTATGAGAGACGAAGTTTGGCCATCTTGGCCTCCAAGGAGCACTCTGGTTGCACTTCTTCCAAAACAAATCTATTGGTTCTTTTGACAGCCCATGGCACTTTTAAAATTTTCCCCAACACCACAACTCAAAAGCATGAATTCTTCTACGGTCTTCCTTATTCACTGAGGTTATTGAAAATACCACTATGAGTTTGAGCCAAATGAATGTCACATAACAGCAGCAGAGAATATGAGTGTGTGACAGTTCCAATAATTATATATACTTTCGTACTTTGGAGATCCATTGAATCAGCTCTGAAGAGGGACAGAAATTTTGTCAGGGTAAAGTTATGTCATTGGTTGCCTTGCTGTTAGGTTGGCTCATCGCTGGAGCAACAGAAATTCAAGCTCTATAAAATATTCTAATATTTCCCCGTGCTCTCATAAAGTAATAAACTAATTTATTTATTTATTAAAACTAATTTATTTTTTATTTATTAAAACTTGCAGCTTTATGTTTGTTCAGGAAGTGCCGTGGTCTGTGCTGCTGCCATGATACTTGGGTTGTTGCGAGGCTCTGTTGGCGCCATCTACAATCAGTCTACTTTGTCGGGACAGACACCTAGGTCTTTGCGTCACCTTACTCTAACTAGGTAAGTTGTCTGTCTTCAGTGTGTCATTTCAAGTTGGTTTTCAAAGGGACTTTACCTACTGATGGTGTGGGAGGCATTATCAAACTCCTGAAGGTGATAACGTCTTGGCTTAAATGTCCATGGTGTCGGTAGATCATTAAACGTTAGACGTGCACATTTTACATTGACCATTTTCAAGGCTCCCTAATGCTAGACTGTATTTTGGATTGCCATAATATTACAGGGGAAACTAATTTTATTATTTTTATGAGGATAATACTTAATAACCTAATTTTACTTTCTGTTAAAGCGTTATGAAATCCAAAAGGAAAAGTGATCACATGGAGAGAACTGCAAATGTCGTTCGCCGGGAGGTTTGTATCTTTGGGCTATGGCAGGTTTCTCCAGTGTGGACAGTTTATACCCAGAATGACTGACATATGAACATGGTGTTAAATGAGACTGGTCCCCTGGAAGGACAATCAGGAAAGGCATGTAATTTTTCTGAACAGAGCAGATAGTAACTGATTAGAAAAGATGACTAAGAGGTACTCAAAATTTCATTTTAAACTTGTTATCAATGGATCATTACTTTAAAAAAATTTTTCCAATTGGACATCTTTTACATGCATAATTCAATGACACCAAGTATAGTAATCATGCAAGACCATCACCAATAGTCAGTGGTTACTCTTTGATAAAGGGTGTGTAGGAACCACAAGGGAACCATCTTCATGGAATGATGTTTAGGATTATATCTCATATAGGGATAGAATTGTTGGTTTTTGACACCATGTTTCAGTCTTTGTTCTCATCCCTACTTGAGGACAATTTCTTACTTCATCAAGGGAGAAATCTCTGACATCTGAGAGGAAGGTGGATGAACTCTTGTGGCCCTTCTCAAATATAGATCTTCCTGCCATATTCAGATGTTTGGAAGCTGATCTACAACCTGGAGGGGTGTCAGGGGCTGGGAAGTGAAAGAACCTTACCCTTTATCTCAGTGAGGAACTCCATTTTCATTTAAAAATGTGAATGGAATATTTGAATTATCCCTATTTTAGTGTTTCTTATATATTGGGATCGATCTAGTTTAGTGTTATAACTTTCTAAATAAGCAATGGGAAAAAAAGAAAAACCTGCATTCTATATAAAGAACGTATATACATATCTACTGACGTTGTCAGCAATTGTGTTTTGTCAGTGTTTTCATTTTTAGTCTTAATATAAGGATACACTTGCATGTAAAGGCATATCGTTTTAGTTCCCACTTTTCTAGCTAATTCTACTGTTAGAAAATTGCTTTGGGACTGAGGGTGGTGTGTTTGTTGATTCAGATTGAAGCAAATGTTTCTTTTGAGAAGTCTGTAAAATTAGTTCCGCACAGTAGATTTATGGAGGTGTGGGGAAATACAGTTTTCCCATTGATGATAAATCTGAAACTATTTTTTTTGTTTGTTTGTTTAACACATAAAAATGCTGATTTTATAAATGTGAGACTTGTTAGAATTTCTTTTTAGAAAGTAGAAACATTACCAGTTGTTAAGGAAAAGTGGTTTGTTTAACAGATTTGGGTGATATTATTACTTTCTGTTATATTCTGAGACAGATTGAATTAGAGTAGGGAGTGGCAGACTTTCTGTTAAAGACCAGATAGTAAATATTTTAAGCTGTAAGGGCCATGTGGTTTTAGTTGGTACTACAAATTCTGCCTTTGTAGTATGTGAAAGCAATCATAGACAATAGGTAAACAAATTAGTAGGACTTTTGGGAGATTATTTTGAACCAGGTTTAATTGCAAACTACAAAGAAAGTTAATGCAAGCTCAGATAGTTGAGAAGTTTAGTGCCCAGAAGTCACAAAATTACAGGGTTAAAATTCCTGCCATGATAATAATATATTTGAGGAAGAAGTTTCCTACAGTAATGTTTTTATTCTGTTTCTAATTTCCACACTTTTCCCAAATAGAATGAGATGGGGAGAATTGGAGAAAGCAAGAAGAAGTATAGGCTTAGCTATAAGGTCACCTAGGGGCTCATCTCAACCCTGTAGAGGGCTGCGCCTAATGGTAGAGCAGGGACCTGACCATGAACTTTGAAAATGAACAGTGACTCAGGTTGACCATTACATAACTATACCAGCTTCTGATAGTCTGGCCTTGTTGTTAAGTGCCTTCAAGTCAGCTCTGACTCAACCTGTATAGCGTTTCCAAGGAGTTGTTGGTGCATTTGAACTACCAACCTTCTAGTTACCAGTCCAGTGCTTATTCTATAGTATCATGCCAGGACCTACTTGCTTTTAATTTGTATAGAAAGTATACTTTGTGTTAATTCTGTTTTTGTTGTTGAGAATATACACAGTAGAACTACACCAATTCAGCCATTTCTACATGGGCAGTGCAGGGACGATGCCATTCTCTGAGTTGCGCTACCATTCTCACCCTCCTTTTCTGACCTGTTCCTTCTCCATTAATGTAAACTCACTGCCTCCTGAGCTGTTATTACCAATTTGATTCATGTCAATGAGTTTGCAGTCCTGCTTTGGCACTGTGGGATAACCACTGGGACCACAAGGTTGGTTTGAACTGCAAGGTTGGCAGTTCAAACTCACCAGTCGCTCCTTGGAAACTCCATGTAGGATCGCTATGGTCGGAATTGATTCGAAGGTACTTAGCAACAACAACAACAACAGATAGAGCTTGGAGTCCTTGTGTGGCGCTTTGGGATAAAGCACTGGACCGTAAGGTCAGTTCAAACCACTAGCTGTTGGCGGTTCAAACTCACCAGCTGTTCCTTGGAAACCCTATACGACTCACGATGAGTCAGAGCTGACTGAATGGCACTTACCAAGAACAAGATAGGGCTTAAAGGAACTCATTGTTCAATGCAGACATTCTTAACTAGTTAAACTAAACACTCATTTGGTTTTAAGGTGACCCCAGGGGATAGTTTTGGTTCAGTTTAAAAATTACCTCAGTTGTTTCAGGGGTTTTCCAGCCTCCATGACTGTAGAAAATCTGGATTCCATGAGAATTTGAAATTTTGTTCTATGGAAAGTATACTTTACAAAAACCCTCACGTCTCCTTTGCTCTTAGTTTAAATCTGTGAGGTAGCCTGCAAATAGAATGCTGTCTGAATTTTACAGAGGAGGAGGCAGCACCTAGGAGGTGTAGAGTGGCTTGTACTATAGAACTAGAGGGGAGCTCCAGCTCAGGTGACCGATTCCTACACAGAAGACCCTCCTGTCCCTCCCGGAGAGGGTGGAGAATGGGATGCTCACCCACCCAGAGGTATCCTTTTAGTATTGGGCATTGTGTTTCCTCAGAAGAATTTATTAAGTGACCATTTTATGATGTGAATGCTTTTTCCTTACGGCTATAAATGTAGCCAATCTGAGGTCATGCTATTGCAGGAAACTGACCTCCACAATGAATGGCATTTGCCTGGGTTCAAGTTTTTTTTTCTTTTTTCTTTAGAACCAAAGAAAGCCTTAGAAATGTCAGGGAGATAAGGGTAGCTGTATTGTATTGCAGTAAGGATTGTTCATGCAAGACTAATATTTCTGAAGATTTGCCCTCTGTAGAGCTTTGGCCCACTAGCAGGGTGTATTCTATTCATCACTCTGGTGAGAGTTTAGAAATGAAAGAATTTTTTAAATGACTAATTGTTATGTATTCATTTATTCATTTAGAAGTATGCCAGGCACTGGGCTAGGTCCTGAGATTTAGCACTGAACATGACATCATGTCCCTGCCTTCAGGTTCTAATGGCACTCTGATCACAAGAAACTAATTTTATTCCTGTAATTGATTTTGGAAAACTGTCTCATTCTTTTTCAATTATATTAGTGTGCTGCTTTTAAAAATCTGTGCTTTATCCTACAAATACTTTCCTGTTTACAAAGTGCACAGTAGGTTGTTACTTGATTCTCAGAGCCACCTAAGGAGGGTGGTGGAGGGATCCTTAGCCCATTTAGAAGATGAGGAAATTAAGACTCGGCAAGATTTAGATAAGGTGATGCTGCTACCTGATTTGCCTCGGGTAGTCCTGGTTTTTGCCTCTTTTCTTTGTTTGGCTTCCAATAACAGTGCCCTCTTTAGCTGGCATGTATTGATGGCCTGCTCTATGCCCAGTCCTCTGTTCAGGTGCTGGGAGCATGAAGCAAGTTTCCTGCTGTACCTGGAGCTTCATTCTAGTGGGGATAAAAAAGAGAATGGCAGATGTGCCAGGCACTATGAAGAAAATTAGACAGAATAATGGGAGACTAGTGTGGCTGGGGGTACACTTTGGCATAGGTTTGTATAATTGAGCTGAGGCTTGGGTAAGGACAAGAGCTAGCACAGCATTTCTGGCAAGAGAAGGCTTTGAGGCAAGGATGATCTTGGCATGTTTAGAGGAGAGTGGTAGGATGAAAGGCAGGGGCCAGATTGTATAAATGGTTGGCTTGGATAGGAGTTAGGATTTTATTGAAAGGGTGGTGGAAGATTTTGAGCAGGGAGGTTACATGTAATCTGTATTTTGAATGAGTCATCTGTTAGCTTGCTGGTATTGTTCTTCAGTGCCTTCCAGTCATTTCTGACTCAGAGTGACTCTGTATAGGGTTTCCAAGGAACAGTTGGTGAGTTTGAACTGCTGCTTTTCTGGTTCAAACCGACCTTGTGGTCCAGTGCTTTATCCCACAGTGCCACACCAGAACTCCATTAACTTGGTAGAGAATGGGATTTTGTTGTGCTTTTACACCAGATTAGAGCTACTTTAGATGTTGATCCCAGTGGAGGCTTAGAGTAGGGTAGTAGTGATGGGATTCACTGACAGTGTGGTAGTGGTCTGGGGGCAGGGGGAATAGGGAGGAAAAGATACAATGCAAAGGTGACTTTTTTTTTTTTTTTTTTTAATGTTTTATTGTGAATTCTATCATAGTTTACATGAGAGAACCTCAGTTCCATATTCATTCCATCGTATATCATTACATTGCCATGGTTACAGTCCCCTCCATGCATCGTCTTCCGACCAAAGGGCATATCCTAGAAGCCCGTGCTCTACTGAAGTCCCCTCTCAGTCTTCGGCCCACAGTTCCTCTCCCTCTCTGGATCCAAAGTCCCCAGCCGCTTCATCCCTCCATGTCATCATCTCTGTCTCCATTTCAGGCATCCCCGGTTCTCTGGGTGGGGTCTCGACTCTTATCTGTTGGTGGTCCCAGAGACCTCTGCTCCTAGACTGGAGAAATAATCGCTCTCCTCCTTGCTACAAAACATCTACCCTTGCATTTCCAACACTCACAATCCATCTTGATAACCATTATTCACTACAGTGTCACACGGAACCCATCTGTATTTCATTTCATCAGCTCCACCTAGTCAAATTGGATAGTACT